AGTTTTGCATTATGGCTCCTTTTAATCTATCTTTATGATGAAGATAAAGTCTCAAGACTCTTAAAAAGCTGTAATAAAGGGAGGGGGGAGGGACAGCATTAGGAGATATACCTAATGTAAATGACCAGTTAATGGGTACAGCACACCAACATGGCACATGTATACATATGTAACAAACCTGCACATTGTGCATATGTACCCTAGAACTTAACGTATAATTTTAAAAAAAGCCATAATAAAAAATTGTTTCCCTATATAGCAGAAATGTTGCAAAAACATTAAAATATGCAAGCTCTTGATTTCAACAGTGTTTCAACCAAAGGTGTAAACTAAGAAGGACTAAATAAAGCCAGAGCCTAAAATCATTTTGGTGATCTATTAAAATTCACTTACTCATTAACACAAGCTACGCCCTCACTTTTTAACCCTAAGTCAGTTCTCTCATATCCAAGACCTCATACCAAGTGACTGTGTGTCTTCGATTCTAAGTAAAACAAATACAGTATGTTTTCCCATCCCACATATTCAAAAGTGTTTCTGCTACAAGCAATAAAAACGATGCAATTTCACGAAATGAATAAGGATAGATGAAATGATTAAATACATAATGTCAGTGACTATTAGTTTAACTCACATAAACACAAAATTTTAAATATCAAAATTTCAAAATATGATTTGGCAAAGTAATTTTAATATTACAAAATTAAAGCTATAACTGGAGAACTAAATTAGCCTGACTGACACTCAATAACATACAACTTCACCAGAAACATTTTCCCTTTCTAATTTACTTTGTCTGTGAAGCTGAAGCTAAAAGGGACTCTTCAAATATTTTATGGACTGGCCAATTTCTAGACGTCTGTACTCTGCCTGCACAGTAACAAGCTGGTGCTAATAAGCCATACATAAAGATCCTACTTATTAAAATACAAATTAGACACCCCTTATGTTTATACATGTGTAAGTACAATTAATTTTGCAAGCTTCGTTGGAAACAAAATTGCTTTAGTTAACCAACCATTGCAATGCAATCAAATGAGATTTTAAATGCAATTGGAAAAGATCTGTTTGGTAGAAATAGCAATTATTTCATGAGGAACAATTAGCTTTCCAAGCTCTTTTTTGCTTCTCCCACCTGCCCTTAATAGAATAATTTGTCCATCATAAGTGACATGAAATGTCACCTTTAACACCCGTAAGTTGTATGGAGACCTAGAAGGCAGCTGGTAGACATAGCTTATTTACAAATATTAGTTTGAACTTGTAAATGCATGACCACATAAATCTTAATCCATTTACAGTGTATGCCCTTTGTTCCCTCAATTGTATATTCAGTTGGGAATTGAATGGAGCTGAGAGAGAGTGTGAATTGCATGAACCCTTTGTTGTTGCCAGCATATTAGTGCTTTGCCTTTTATTCTTGTTGTTCATGAGATTTCTCTACATTACACAGTAGGGAATGTTAATCAACATTTTGCCGGAGTAATATTAATGAAACTTGCCTACTTACACTTGAGGGAAGAATCAGAATATTACATTGCTCTTTGAAATGTTAATGTACCTTTTAGGAAATTATGTCTGCCTTCTAAATCATCTTAGTGTTAAATTATTAAAGGATGGCATTAAAGAAATATTGCACTGATGCACATTGTTAAATACCTTAAAAGATAAAAGAATTATAAAGTTTAAAAGAAGGACCTTTTGAAAGATGGTAGATTTATCTCCAAATTAAACATTTTTAAATGTTTGGTTAAAGTATTGAGAAAATTTACAATTGTTTTGTGTGCTTTCACAAAACAAGAGATTTAATGTTAATGATTTCTAATTTCCAAACATGAATTTGAACTGTATTCTGTTCTGGTCTTGAAGGATTTATTTAACCTTCCTGTATCTGTGCATTAAAACACCATCCAGTTTACTAGAAACAACAACAACAACAAAAAAAGCTGAGAGGAGTGTATTATTTTTGTACTTTTTATTTATTTGAATCTTAAGATTAGATAGTCTTCACTGAGGTTCTATTCTCCAAGCACAAAAACGACCACTATCTAAACCTTCTATCACTCTATGGCATTTCAAAGGGAAGGGCTATCATAAAGACTATGTATGGCTGCCAAGGTAAGATATGGGAGATAGCAATTCTCAGTGTGCAAACTGTGACAGACATGTGTCCTGTCAACATCATTCACGGTCCTTCAGGAATGATGCTCAGGAAATGAGTTGACAGGACTCTAAGTGGTCTAACTTGTTTTCCCTTTAACAGTCTCTTTTGATATCAATCAGTGTGTTGATAGGCCCTAAATAAACTGTGAGGTAACCAAGGGGGAAATTAGGAACAGAATTTGTTCAAGAATTCTCCCACATGGTGACCACTATTTGCTAAGAACTCCTAATACTTAGTGGGCAAACAATTCAGTTTCTATTTCACCATACAAGAGTTAGTAATGGCTTTTGTATTATTGTGGGCCTGACTTGTCCTCTTGCACAATGTTCTTTAGCAGTACTGCTACTTGGATATATGCACTGAAAAAATGGATAATAGGAGTTACATTTCAAGGTAATTTTTTTCACATTTTGACATCTCTAAGATACAATTGCTGATGCATCATAATTTAAGTGTCTTTTTTGGGGGATGCTCGGGGGAGATGGGGTCTCTCTCTGTTGTCCAGGCTGGAGTGGTACAGTGGCGCAATCTCAGCTCACTGCAACCTCCACCTCCCAGGTTCAAGTGATTCTCCTGCCTCAGCCTGCCAAGTAGCTGGTATTACAAGCATGTACCACCAAGCCCAGCTAATTTTTGTAGTTTTGGTAGAGATAGGGTTTCACCATGTTGACAAGGCAGGTTTCGAATTTCTGGCCTCAAGGGATCCACCCGTCTTGGCTTCCAAAAGTGCTGGGATTACAGGTGTGAGCCACCGTGCCCGGCCAAGTGGCTTTTTCTTAGAAATAAGTAAAATAAATAGAATGACTAAGTGCCTTACAATTGATGATTTACATTCAATAAAATATGGTAATAGTGAACTTGAATTGAGAGTTTTTGTGTTGTGTTTGTGTTGTGGTCACCCATTACCTCAATATAGAAAACAAAATCATTGCCAAATGTTAGTGTTAATGAGACCAATATTAAAGAGTTCACAATATAATTAGGAAATGAAACCTAATGTCTAGAAATTAATACATAAATAAAACAACACCAATGATACAGGCATTACTACAACCCTACTTGCCAAGTTAATTTTTTCCCACATTATTGCTCCTTAAAAAAGTGAAAACGACATACAACTAATCAATGACTACTTAAAATACTACAAAATGACTTTAATGCAAAGAAAAAGGGGTGTTTTGAACAGGGAATGTATAATCTATATATTTCAGAGGTTGATTTTGTGTGTCCATTTTGAGTTCTCCGAATTACTGAAGATTCAAACTAAAACAGCACCAAGGGTATTACATCCATGCTAGGCAGAATACATGAGCTAGCCATACATCTATTATGACTTTACACGGCTTTTATCATGCATGCTTTATGTTGTGGGAGATAAGGGAAGAGTAATTTATATTTAATGTTATTAATCAAACATATATTTAGCTGATTTGTTTTGCTGCAATTTTGCCTATTTGCAAAAGCGAAAAAAAAATCGTTTCTCTTTAAAAGCAACTAAGTATATTGCAAGCCCCTTCATTCACTAGATGAGCTTACAGTTTGCTTGATGCTCTAGGAGCTTATGTTTTTAGCTTAATCATTGATTTTTTTCCTTAATATATCATAGATAGCAAATTGATCTTTATTAACCTATATATGATAAAGGTTGTAGACAAAGCCAATACCTACATAATATTAATACCAATCAGGTTAAGTGAATTGATCAGTTTAGTAGAGAATCAAACTGGCAGTTGTCAAATAGAGTCTCTCATTAGTAGATTGTTTAAAATACATAAATTAGTGACAAACAGTAAAAAACAAATAATGTCACAAGTATCAAGAATGAAAGACTATGTATTATATAAATGAATTAAATATCATTTGGTGCATTTTCCTTTGATATTCAACATAATCATACAACACAAAGAAGTGCTAATTCCTAAACCTCAGTTTAGTGTCCATTGAAGCACAACTACATACCTTCAAATTTGAGACTTTTGCTTTGCAAAGAGTACAATTAAGCTGTCGCTCACATTCTAAACCTATTTTAAATGTGGGAAGGTAGAGGGGAGTTGGTTATATCTCCAAAATGAATTGTCTAGAAGTTTTCTGTGATCAGAAATTATAAAAATTTTCTTTCATTACAACTGTAATCATTCAAATATGTAACAGAAGTAATTTCTGATTATTAAGGAAATATCTTTTTTACTATGCCCCTTGGCCATAAGAGGATAAATGATAGATATGCAGACCTTACCACAAGGAGAATTTCTGCTATTTCTATAAACTAGTAACTCTTAGTTCACAAAACAAGTTTATTTAAAAAAACATGCAACTGCTAATGTCAGCTGGCATTTCTCAAAGTAGGCCAGAGTAGAAGAGAGATTACTTAAAAGTGAAACAAATTAAATTTTAAGAAGCTGAATATACTCATTCTCACTTTCATTATATTGCCCACCATCATGGTGATTATAATATGTATACTGCTTCTTAAAAACTCAAAGTACTTAAAGGCAACTTTTTTCAACTTGTATATTCATAATATCGACAAAAATTATTCAGATATTAAAATTTAATGCTATTTTTAATGTATTTTATAAATAATGTACCTTTAATTATGGAAGAACATTTCAAGTTTTTTTTTTTTTTTTTTTTGGTAATATGGAACATAAGAAAGTACATTTTGGCTAACTTAATTGGCCCTGATTACCCAAAAGCAATTTCTTTAAAAAGCAACAAGTGTGGTTATTTTTAATCCCATAAGATTTCATCATTAAAATATATTTTAATATGAACATAATTATCCATACGCAATATGTCAAGCTACTTAAATCAAGTAGTTAAAAGGGGTTCTTACTGCAAAATCTTCCCTCCACTGGTGAGCTGCTTGAACTTTCTCTGCTTCCAATGCCAGGCGCTGAAAAACAAACAATAAATCTTAGAATTCAAATGACCACAAAATATGGAATTGTTATATAAAATGCTTGGGCTTTCTAATCAATTATGAGGACATAAAAAGCAGAAGATGATCATTATTTATGATTCATAAATTCTAAATCATTTAGTAATCTAACCTACTAAAGTTGATGTATGTATATTTACTCTTTAGCAATATAAATAATAAACTATTCTTGAATACCATTGAGTTTGTTACCTCTGCCATCATCAGCTATAGTGTCCTCTATGAGTGCTTTCTTTCAATGACTAATACTTCAGTTTTTAGAAAAAAACTTGAGTATATTAATTTTCATCTTATTTTTAGTAAATACCTTTAGAGCATACATTTCTCTAAAAAAAAGACATTGAGAGATTAATATGCATTAATATACTAGGCACCTTCTTAATTGCATATTGCGTTTTTGCCAAAAGCCACAAAAGCTGAAATAACTTCCCCTTTGCTGAGGCACATCTTTAGTAGTTCTTTCAGTGATAATCTTTGATAGAAGATTTGTGCATCTGAAAATTGCTTGATTTCACCTTCAATTGTGTATGCTAAGGTAGTTAAGAATTATAAGCCAATTTATTTTTCTGTAGCACTTTTGAAATGCTATTCCATTAAGTTCAGTGGGAGATCACAGTACTAGTGTCAGCCTGCTAATTACTTTTTATAAACATTTTTCCCCTACTCCAGTACCTTTTAGATTTTTCTCTTTGTATTTTTCAACTTCACTATGATGTTCTCCATGTGATAGGCTTTCATAAGACAGTGTTGTTTAATGGTTAGCAACACAGAGTTGGGGACCTGGCTGTCTGGATTTGAATACCAGCCCTTGCAAACTACTAGCTGTGCAACCTTGGGAAAAATTAAGACTCTTCTCCCATTATCTCATGTGAATAACGTAAAAGCCTGCCTCATGGCTTATTGGAAAGACTAAATGAGTTATAAAGTGTTTAGAACAGTGCTTGGCACACAGTAAACAATATATATATGTCAGCTATCAACTTCAAAGAGTAATGGTTCTATTTTCTCCCTGGATCCCCTTTAAAACAATAGTGCAGTGTTGAGTTTATTTGTGGTTTGCCTTATGCAGCCAGAAGATAGTGATAAAACTGAGCAAACAGAAAAGTAAATAAAATAAATATACTAAACTTACTTATTAAGGTATAGAAATTATCAGGTTAGGTTTAAAAAATTACAAATCTCAGAGTCATTTATTGATTCATGCTGTTTGTGATCTACGAACTATTCCTCAGTATAAGTTCTTCCTGTGGAAGTCCAGTCTACACTGGATAAACATCTTTTAGATCAGTTTTTATGTTAATGTATTGGCTTCTATCCCTGTGATTTGTTATAATCTATTCATTTTTCTAAGCTGTTACATAGGTTTTATCAGTGACTCTGTAATATCGCCTAGCGGGAGATCTCAATTTAAGAGTTCCAAAGCTAAATTTAAGTGAAAATGTACCATAGCGTGCTAAAAGGACAATGGTTTTGGTTTTCACTACTAGGCAGAAATGGAATATATAAGGAGCTGGGAAGTGTTAGAAACTGTACCACGTAGAGTAACCAAAAGGCGGCTCCCTCTCCCTACAAAAACAAAAACTAAATTGCAAAGCCAACAGACGAGCATATACATTTCAGAAACACTGCATCATAACACTTTTGGAAACTCAACTTCAAATGAAAAATGAAGCAAAAAATGAATAAAACGGCCAACAGAATGGAAATGGAAGCAACTCTTTTATAGAAACACTTCAGCATGGGAAGATAAAGAGAAGACAGAATGAGAAAATAAGCAGGAAGGCTTTTTCTTTTTTTCTTTGTTTTGATACAGGGTCTCACTCTGTCTGCCAGCCTGGAATACAGTAGTATGATCATAGCTCACTGCAGGCCTGCAGTCTTGCCCTCCTGGGCTCAAGTGATCTTCCCACTTCAGCCTCCTAAGTAGCTGGGACTACAGGTGTGCATCGAGAAGTCCAGCTTCTTTCTTTCCTCCTTTCCTCCTTTCCTCCCTTCCTCCCTTCCTCCCTTCCTCCCTTCCTCCCTCTCTCCCTCTCTCTCTCTCTTTCTTTCTTTCTTTTGTAAAGTTGGGTCTCAAACGCCTGGCTTCAAATTATCCTCCTATCTCAGCCTCGCAAAGTGCTGATATTGCAGGCATGAGCCCTCCTGCCCGGCCAAAGACGTGCTCTTGACAAAATTCACAACATAAATCTTCCCCATTTTAAAAAGCAGTATAATAACTAAACTTTTATATGTATGGGCAAAAAAAAAAAAAAAAGATTTCCAGAACTTAAACAAAATACTGCATAAAATATTAAACTTTTTTAGATCAAGAAATATTACAACTCTAAAATGTCTTTGGGTCTTCGAGAACATTAAGATTTTTCTTCAGAATACACAGGAGGATGCCGTTTCAGCAAACAAAACACACTAGTGAGCATTCACCCACAGGGCTATGCAGTTTCCAAGGCACCAGCTGTAACTCTACCAGATCTTTCCTCCTTGGGAGTGCATGAGAAAGTGCAATTTAACTGATCTCACCCAGAATCACGTGGCTTATGACTTGAACATAATCCATGTTTAGTAAGTTATAGTGACAGTAATCATCACAGTTAACTATTTCCAGAGAAACAGAATAACAATGGCAATACACTCTAACACAATTCCTTAGGAGGAAGAGAGTCCAAATCAGCTTTATTTATATGTATTCTGAACACTAATTTTATAAAGTAAATGTCCTGTATTGCAAGACTTTGAAAAAGTTTTTAGAAAAATAAAGAAAGGCCTGAAGTTATGTATACCAAAGAAGTTATGCACTTTAAAAGGTTGGTCTGAAGCTTGAAAGTTGTTAAATTTCATATCCCCAGGTTGGAATTTTAGAAATATATAATCATGAAAACTCTACTCCTGTTAATTTCATTGTTCATGAAGAAATTAATAAATATTTTTACCTAGCAAATTTCATGAGAAAGCATATAATACTAAACTTTAGATACTTAGTCTATCGTGAGACTAGAGTCAATAGTCACAGTGGTGCTATTTCTCGCAGCAAAAAACCACCTGGTCATTACATATAGAAAACTGACATGTCTTCTAGACACATTAAGTCTTTAATTCACTTCCATTTTGGTCAACTGACATTTTATTTTTAAAGCTAATGAGCTACCATTAAATGCCATTGGTGAATTGTGTTAAGGCTGTCAAAGGCCAGGCGCATGGCTCATGCCCTTACTCCCAACACTTTGGGAAGGTGAGTCGGGAAAATCTCTTGAGGCCAGGAGTTCAAGACCAGCTTGGGCAGCACAGTGAGATCCTGTCTCTAAAAAAAAAACCCAGTTAGCCTGGCATGGTGACACATGCCTATCATCCCAGCTACTCAGGGGGCCGAGGCAGGAGGGTCACTTGGATCCAGGAGTTCAAAGTTACAGTGATCTATGATGGTATCACTGCACTGCAGCTGAGCTACAGTGCAGGACTCTGCCTCCAAAAAAAAAAAAAAATTAAAAACAGACAAAACATCCAACAAAATGTGAGTATCTGCTCAATAGAACATCCCTGTTTTCTCAGCTGGCTATATAAGTATATCCTGTAACAGTAACTTACTTCAGAAAAAGAAAAAGAAAAGAAAAAACAAAACAGAACATTTTTCTGATTTATGGCACAGTATAATACAGCATCAGACCTTAAAACCAGACAGAGAACCACACAGAAATAAAAACCCTGGATTACAATGAATACCTATGAGAAAAATTTGAAGCTTAATTCTGCTAATATTAAGATATTCAGCAAGGTTTATTAAATGGCTTTGTTGTAAATGAGATACCACATGTATATATGAAAATCCTTTGGATATCAAATAAATATTTATACAAAGTAATAGATGTGTTAAGAATGTATGCATCCCTACCTACCTATTGGTTTGAACATTTAAAACAGAAAATCACTGTAAAGGCTTTAAGGACTTACAACTATAACAAAAATATACTTGACCCCAGACTTTCTGACTCCAAAGCTTATGCTCCTTCCACAAGACCCTTCTTTAGATTCCCATAAAACCCATCACAGTATATATGAAGACAGCATAATATCAAAACCAAAACACTAGTAGAATTCTATTTTAGGTTAATAAAAAAATCCCCAGCAAAGTTTTAGAAATTACTAAAAAATGAAAAACAAAGTCAGCAGCAACAACGAAAACCATATTTTAGTTGGGAACCATCTTTACAGGTCTTATCCTCAAATCCTGAGAGATTATTGCTAATCAGTAAAAACGCTTCTGCTATGCAGTGGTCTGCAGGGAGAAGGATAGAGAATGGAAGAGGTTTTATCAGATCAGAGAAAGATCAGCTCCCTTGAAGGTCTATTCATTCTCAACCTTTACTTTTTGTCATATCTTCATCTTTTCCATTAGCATTGAATTCCGTCAGATGATATGAACTTCTATAAAAGCAGTATTATACAGTATATAAAGATATAATTCTACTGTCCTAATCAATATCCACATATATTTTTCCAAAAAATAGACTATTTTCCAAACATGTAAGTAACTTGCTTCCTAGATTGCAAATTTATTGCAAGTTAAAGATAAAATTTGCTTTCTGAAATTATGAGAAATTTTCTTTTGATAGCTTTAAAAAGACCATCAGGGATCATATAACAGTTCAGTTAGACTCCCATAATGTTGGTACTCTTGTTTATATACAAATATTTGACTTACAGACACCATTTAAACAAATATCACTAAATTTCAAAACAATTTCTTCAGCTAATGTAAGTCAAGATTTTCCTTTTTAATAAAAGGTAATAGAGATCTACAACAGCAAATCCAAATAAAATATGCATGTGGTATGTGATTAATCTTCAAACAGTTAACACCCATTACAGATTAGCAAATTGTATTATACCTATGTTGACAATTCAATTATCACTCTAGGAGTTTCACCTACTATCTTCATCAAAAGGTTCTTAGCATATCA